ATAATCATACAAAAGTTGAGAGCTCTCTGTTCTTCCAATCACGTTCGTATGAAATTATTTTTACCTATCACCATATTGTTGTGCTGCTGTGTTATAGTTTTACGATTTAATCCTGTTTGTTTTATTGAGGAGTAAAAATTGTTGCATGCTCCTAGCTTCCGATGTAATTATAGATTTGAACCCCAAAACCTTTGTTTGGGCGCTTGTCTCATTTGCGACGAACCCTCTGTATTTTCAAAAATTTCAAAATTATAATATTGACAGAGATATTTTCTTAATTGAAGTCTGTTCTAGAAATGTTGATCTTTAAATAAGTTCAAGCACTTCTTTTTTAACGTTTAGTTTCCGCTTGGTTATTTTCTTCTTGAAGTAAATGCAATAAATTAAAATTGTAATCAAAGACGCCCCCTAACTTTCCCCAAATTCAGAGAGACTCATGTTTGTTGAAATTCGTAAATTTTCGAAAATTGAAAATTTTAAAAATAATATAAGAAAGTTTTTGTCGCTGTATCTACACTCTTCAGTAGTTAAGTTGAAAAATTTAAGAATTAATAGACAATATTTGAGGAAGAAGTTCTCTAAATCACCTGGCAACCTTGCAATTTGTTCAACATAAAACCAAATTTATTCACTGGTATTGAATCATTAACGTTGTAATTGCATTCTCCCTAGTTTTATTTATTTCCTTGCTAAATATATCATATGGCAATAAAAATGAAATGTAAAAGGGGGACTCAGAGGCCCCAGAAATGTTTACTCCCCTACCCTCGACCCGTACTCCCCTGCCTGTACCTATAAATGAGGGCATAGTTCTAAAAAACAGTACGTAAAAATGTTGTAAATTTAAGTCCCTTACAGGGCAATAATATAAAAAAGATGCAGTTCCATTATGCAATACGTGAATAGTGAATATTTAATATGGGGCTGCCTCTTTTTTGGGAATCCTATTACCTCTCATGACATCAACTATGTCATAAGCCGTATCAATCTAATTATGAAAATTCAGTAGGTACATGTGTTATGACATGCAGAACAACAAAGTATTTTACTTTTGAGGCAAAATCAAAACTGATTTCTTGCTTTGTTCTCACATGGTCGGATGCTGCATACTTTTTTCATTTCGTTGCGCATTCAAAATTAGGCCCAAAGGTAATTCGTGACCGTTGCCAATAACGAGAAATATGTGTTGCTGGTTTTTGATCAATTTAAGTTGCTTTATTGTCCACTAATTTAATTTTGCGCTTCCTGTTCAATCCTGCATTGGAATCACTTTGACTTTTCTAACTAGAACAACTTCATCTCAAATTTTCGCCATAAGGCAATCGTTTTCAAAATACGTTCATCTCTAAAAATGATTAGGAAACTCATAAAACCAAGTTTGAAAATATATTTGCAAAAATAACAGATACTGAACTTACGTTCTATTTTTTTAAATGTGTAACTTGACGTTATACATACAAAGAATCCGTGCTGCCTTCATTCTGCTTTCGTTACCGTCTTCGCGAATAATTCATTCACCAAAAAACAATTCCAGGCAGCCATTTCCAGCCAACGTTTTGGGCAATCATTTCTGCCCTAGCAATATCTTAAATCGTATGTGGCGTATTAGCTTCATTGATTGCACATGTATGTTTTAATTTTGTTTTAATGCAAATTACATGTTGCATTGGTGTTTCTTGCAATTAAATGATCTCTATATTTTTACAATAGAAATATTACAAAAACTTTGACAAAATATGTAACAGAGCACAGTGTCTCAATCGATCAACTAAATTAAAATTGAGTTAATCTGCATCGAAATGTTAATATAATAAAAAATTAGTTTTAGAAGTTTTATAAAAAAGTAAGTATAAATAAATATATAACAGTCTTTGAATAAGGGATACCGAAGTCTTCGAGGTTTACCATCTGTTTTGTACAGTGTCATTCAGCAATTTGCTGCAACTTCTACTGAGCGATTATATACTGAACTATATGATGATGATAATAATAATAATAATAATAATAATAATAATAAGAAGAAGAAGAAGAAGAAGAAGACAAAATAAGAAGAATTGTTTTTTAACTTCAAAGTTTGTCATATTTGGCAGACGCGCGCTTGTACTGTGGTTATTACTGTAATGCGTGATTTCTAGTGCTCGTATAATACATTATTAAATCATTAGTATTATATATTACTGTATTATACATTAATAATTGAAATACAATGAAATTCCTTTGATGGAATGCAGTATGGAATTATGAAATGAAATTACTTTCCTTATTCATGTAAACAACTTATGAACAGAAGACCAATTAGCTTAATGATTGATGATGATGCATTGAAATGATGTTGAAAAAATTTCATTACAGTGTGGCGTGTTACAATAGATAGAAAACATTATCGGCAGAGTTTTATGATTAAGCCCAACATTACACTTTTATCAAACATAGTTAATATTATTTGCATATTTCCGGGAGCAAAAATATTTCATGTTCTCTTATAACACGTTTCTTCGATTTTTGAGGTATGATGTTTAATTGTTTTCATTGGCATTGGGATGCATAATGTCGCATTGAAACATTCCTTTACCTTTCAATTTCTATTTTAAACATGTTCAGACCATATATGGTTTTATAGACATGAAGACTCTAGGGGGCTCTGGCGACGATTAACTATTGTGGATACTTATACATTATAGAAATATATGCAAAATGAAATTCAAATGAAAGGTAAGGAAATGCGTAGATGAAATTGAATACGTGTTTACGACACCCGTGTAGAAATGTCATAATATTTGCGTTCGAAATTGCTTCCTCCGCTGCAACTGTGACGTCAACTGGAAACATTTCTCCCTCGCAATGTAACATTTTCTGTCCTTGTAACGTAAACTTACCATTTCCTTCATGAGCGAAAAAAACCGAGTTAATTTGTCGTTAGGCCCGCCAACGTGACTGCCGACAATTGTCACGCTGGTGCCGTCTTTGCGCCTGCAGGTCGCGCCCGCTCTGAACCAAACAACCGCTCCCGAACCGCCGCAGGCACCGCCCCCCGTGATCTGGCGCCAAAAAAAACACGCGGGCGCCCCCAAGCGGAAGGCATGCGCACGCGCGTGTTGGCTCAGGCCGCGCACCAGCGCGGCGCCACCCCAGCGCTTGCGTGCTTTTCACTTGTTAAACAAGTCAATGCTCAGAACTAATGCTCACAGCATTCAAAAAACTTCGACACTCGTAAAAATCCGTATTAATCCAAACTCAAAGAGATATCTTCACGGACTGCAACACTTGCACAACTAAAAAAAATTTCAGATGTTGAGAACACTGAGCAATTAAGCTATTACATTGAATTGAAATGCATCATACTTGATTCGCACTTTCGTCCATTGGTTGGTGGAATACTGTACTGTAAGATATTCTGTGTTTTGCTGGAAGGTAGATCAATCTGCATATTTTTGAGAGTGCATCAACTCAAAACTCAAAACAATTTTGTGAGTTGTGTCACTAGGCGCGGTCCGCGAGCTATGCGATATGCTTTCTTCGCTTACGAAAATTTACTCAGTATATCATATTAACCTTGAATTGACTTTCGACTACTCTCGTATGTAGCTTCACAGGACAGAGATTGATGACGAAAAAACCATATTATTATTAATTGCTTCTGAGTTTTTACAATTTTGCATCATTTCAAAATTTAATCTTTCATTTCTCGCTGTGAACGCTTAAAAATAAAAAAGATTCGTTGGGATAGGAAGGAAGATTGAGCGCAGTCTGCGGCCCGTTTGTTAGGGTGTTGCTTCCAGCATTACCATGCAGTGTATCAGCAGCAGCGAAGAGGCACGAAACACGACAGCGCATGAAAACACAAACATGCCGTGAGCACACAAAACAAATCAAAGCAAAAACGTGCGAAACTCAAGAGGAACGATATGCAAATGAATGAGAAAATCGACCAGACTTTCGTTAATAAAGGCACCAATCTCTTCGATAGGACTTCGAGATACACGTTACTAATTGCAAAACAATGGCGTCGAATTGCAGTTTGCGATAGTAAAGGCAACGGGGAAGCTGCAGTAGAATTCAAAAGCTGAGATCGACCGCATCAGGATTCCAAAAGGTCTCATCGCCCCCACGCCCAGCACATCGACCTGCCGATGGCTACGCCATCGCGAGGCAAAGCTTGCGCGTTCGGGAGTTGGCGACACTACATTGCGCCCATGGCAAGTATCAGTGGCAGCGACGGATTTCTCAAATAACGGTGGCGGCGATGGAGGCTGTGACTTGTAATGGCGTCAGCCGCGTGCGGCTGTGTCGGTGGACGCGTGCAGTGATAGAGGTGACCGGGCGGTGATGCAGCGCATGGCTGTGGTGGGCAATGGCGGTGGCGGTGGCGGTGGCGGTGGCGGCGCGTGGTTCTGTAGGGTTGGTGAGTGGCGCGTGGCACGGCGATGGGCGGGTGTTCGGGTGTGAGGCTGGCGGCGGAGTGGGGATTGGTGCAAGTGTCAGCAAGGTGGGGGTGGCGGCCGGTGTCAGCGGCGTGTGCAGGGTGGGGGACGGGGTGGGGTGGCAGATGATGTCAGCGGCTACGGTGGGAGGTTGCGGGATTAGGGAGTGGTCAGCGGCAGTGGCAGTGGGGGTGCGAGGGTGTGCGTTAGCAGAAGTATCCTCGGGGTGGCGGGGGGTAGGGTGCAGCAGTATCCTCGGGGGTGGGGGTGGAGGGTGGTGGAGTTGTTAGCGGGGATGGAGTTGGCGCGGGATGGAGGTGTGGCGGGTGGAGGGTGGCAGTGGTGGAGGGTGGCGGTGGGTAGCAGGGAATGGGGTGGGTTTTTTGGCGGCGGGGTTGGCGGCGGGGTTTGGCGGCGGGGCCGCTGTAACAGCGGTGGCGATGCGATGGCGATGGCGATGGCGATGGCGGTGGCGGTGGCCGTGGCGTGGCGGTGGCGACGTGGCATTGAGAGCCGGGGCATTGCGGCTGGCGGTGGCATTGGCGGGGAGTTGCATTGGAGAGGGGTGGCATCGGGGGCATGGTAGTGACTGCGCCGGTGGCGGCAGCGAAGGCGCAGGCGGCGGTTGGGGGCTCCCGCGCGGCCGCCCTAAATAATCCAGTGGACGCGGGCAGAAGGCGGAGCTTCCGCGTCACGTGTTCCAATCCGCGACGATATTACTCCTTATTAGGCCGCGCGCGGACGTGCGTCGCACTTGGCGGCGAGAGCCAGCGCGTGACGGCAGTCCAGCGGGACGCAATGAGGCTGCAACAGCGGCGGCAGCCGATGATCGGACGAGTTCGGAGACGACAGGCGGACGAAGGGTTGTGGAAGTAATATGTCTTGGTGATGGTATTGGCTTTATTTATTTGTTATTTTTTATTTATGTCTATTTACTTTCAATTTATTTCCATTTTTAAATATTTTAATTTATTTTATTTTTATTTATTTTCATTTTTAATTATTTTAATTTATTTTATTTTTATTTATTTTCATTTTTAATTATTGTCATTTTTAATTATTTTTATTTATGTTTCTTTTTATTTATGTTTCTCTTTATTTATTTTTATTTTTAAATATTTTAATTTTTCTATTTATTTATATATTTTTTGGATGTAGGGTCCCTTCAACTGCTCAGGCCCACGAGTATTGATCCACTGAATAGCTACTAGCGATAATTATTAAAGAGAAATTGTGGAAGCTGCACAGCTGGTAAACCGGTGAACTCCGAGAGATTGGTTTGTCCACCTCGAATTCTAAATAAAATGATCGGTGATCGAACCCTACGATGGAAGTAGTAAACACTAATCACTACGTCTCGAATCTTCCTGGTGTTGGCGGCAGAAAATAGTGTGAATTGTTGGTGAGGAGTGGTAGTAGAAGTGGCGATCGTGATGATGAATTCAGCTGTGTGATTAAAGGGTACTAGTGAAATTGATATAATGCTATTTGTGAAAGTAATGATAATGAAGGTTGAGCAGGTGGCAATGATCCTAAGGACACATAACAATGAGGGAGATGGAATGTGCAGTGGTGACAGAAACACCTTACTTGCCCCAAAGCTGCACTAATTCATTGTCCGAATGTTGGTGATGATCTGTAATCGATAGGGATAGCGATGGTTGAGTTTGTAATCGTAGAAATAATTTGTGGTACTATAATACCGCTTACTTTCTGGCCCGTACTTTCATGCAAAATTACGTTAAAGTACTCAAATTTTCGGAAAATGAACCTGACTTTATTTCAAAACCTATCTTTAAGGAATAGATTTCAATAAGGGAAAAATCTCTCTTCATAATCGTAGTTGTGAGAAGACGCCGAAAACATGTTTATTTTTTTCTAATTTTCCAAAACCCAGAGGTGTGATTTTTCAGTGTTTGTGATTTAACCATGATAAACACTCATAACGTTTTGAGAGATCTTTCTGATATATAACTGAAATAATTAACGCTTCTTTAATAGATAATTTTTAACAAGGAAATCAACAATTTTAAAATTTAGTATAAACTATTGTCAATATTAAAATAATAATCCTATTACATTTCAGGTACTACCTTTAATGACCTTGAGGTAAGAAATGAACAGCATTGAACTGGTTTATCGAATGTCATATTTTTGAAGGATTAAAAGTCTTTTAAAATTTGTTACTACTGTTTGCAATAATTAACTGTTGATGGCTCCCAATTCAATTTACTTCAATCTGAGAATAATTCATTACCCTAAGATGCACGAACAGCTTTAGTTCATTTATGCCCACTTACTACAACTACTCTCAAGACGTTTGTTTTCATTCTGTCCCTCTAATTTGCCCTCAATTTACACGTTTCCTTTTCACATTTCATCACATTATTCCCTTCACAATTTTTCAATAACCCTCGTATGTTTATCTATATTCGAACGTTCCTTTACAATTCTTATGACAACATCCTTTCGTCATATACATTTTATTATTCTTCATTTTTCGGAAATGTCTCGTAATTCTTGACATGAAGAATTACAATAACAACAAATATAGTTGAAGGCACAATATGAACCGTATGGTTAGTTATGTACATATTATCCAGTTAACACTATATAAAGTTAAATCAGATAAATTATAATCCAGTTGACATCACAATCAAGCAGACAACCCGCGAACAAACAGATAAATCGCAAAATAAAAAATTTCTCACATGTTCAAAAGCAAAAACTGTCCATCTTCAACCCCACTACATGCTTTGGATGTTTACATTATTTATTCTGAAATATCCTCTAGAAGTACCATGTAGCAAACTCTCGTGAGCAGACCTTGTCTTACCAAGCGTAGGTAAAGCGTCCCCAGAATACATTACGTCTTCTTCCCGCTCGCACGCGTGTTAGTGAATTGAGAATTGGTGGGCGAGAGCGAGAGCGAGAGCGATGAGATAACTCTCGTTAATGGCTCAACTGATGCCTCATGATTGGCGTTCTTAACAGCACGTGACCCATGGCGTCACCGCGTTGAGAGACCCCGCGCGAGGTGACCGGCTGACCGACGAAAGCCAATGCCAATGGAGGGGGGGGGGCACAGAAGTCAAACACAAAACTTTTGCGCGTACGAAGTGGAACGTATTCTTTCCTCCGCGATTGAACCTCAGCAACGACGCCGGAGGTGGAGACAGAGCCGGCAAAGTTGAAAGCGCGGGCGGGCGAGTTTGTGAAGGGAGCGACAGTGGGCGGCGGAAGCGGGAAACTGCGTGGGCGGTGGCGAACTCACGGAGTGGCGCGAGGCAGGGCGGGGCGAGGCGGGAGGGGAGGGGAGCGCAGCGCGTGCCCACTTAGCGCGGTGATTACGGCTAATTGAGATGAATGTCTGCGGCAATCGAACTAAAAGCCGGGCCGGCGCCATATCGGAATGAGTCTGGAATTAACACCGGGCGCGAGGGCGCGGGGTCGACGCTCGGCCGATGGATCCTGCGCCGGGACGGGCGTCGGGTCACCGGGCACCTGTCGCCCGTGGCCCTGCGACGACCGCGTGCGGCTCATCGCCCGCGCACTCGGCAGGACAGGTGCGCGGACGACCTCGGTAATGCAGTGGTTGGCCTCGACCCCCGAAGCCCCATGCGAGATCCTGGTCGGGAACTTCATTAGTAGGTTTGCTATTTACGAAGAGATTCCAACAGAAGTGTATTTTTCCTTTATTTTAAACTGTTCCCATCAACTGGTCAACCCATAATAATAATATTTCACGGAAGAAACTATCGTCCGTGTCATTATTAGACCCGGCAGATGGTTTCTCTTCTAGAACATGAAATCATACGCCGTCCTACACTTCGAGTTTGGGGGTTTCCCTTCAGGTATCTTCGCAAAGATCCACCAATATCTAATCCACCCCCCCACACACAATATCTAATCTCCGCGTGATAGTATAGCGCATGTAAATGTGTGTATAAGAAGATGGGAGAAGAATGAGAAAGGAAAAATAACACGCGGCCTTCAGCTCTATTGTTACGGTGACGCTCCATTTCTTATTTGCTATTGGACGGAAACATTGCAGAAAAGTAACGACACAGTTAGCCAACAACGGTCGAAAATGACGAACCCTAGGGCCTCCTGATCATCGATGATGCAGATGTAACTGTGTTGCACTGGGTAATCTCAGACGGTCTATTAAGTTTGAGTTTGAAACTTTAACATCTAAATAAAATATTGTTTGCTGGATTATTTGATAATGGTGATCATACTGTTACTCAGAATATTTCTACTGGTGGAGTATCTCAGATTTAGTCAGTCAGACTTGCGTACATCACAACTCAACATTTGATGAAGAAGCATTGGAAACGCTCTAGCATACTTGATTTCATTCCTATTATTTATAAGAGAAAGGATAAAAAAGTGAAGACACTTCAAGGCAGTTATTAGCAGACGGTATAATAACAGAAGGTTAACTATTAATTATTAAATAGACCTCACAGTGTGTGCGATAAGAAAATAATATTTCACACTTATCTTTGCAAATTAATAACGATTTTTCTACTTATGATAAATTATTTATTCTTCATTGCCCCATTTGTGCTTATCATGCACAACACATTATCAAACAAACTATAACTTACATAACTTTTTGGCACTGTGACGCCGAGTAACCCGCTGAGCAGTCTATTGTATTTTGTCACAATTCTTCCGATACGCTGGTACATAAAAATTAGACACTCATTCTTTTTTTCGGATTTCAAATAAAATAATATCGACTGGTTAAAATCAAGAACATATGTTTGCTTGTGATTTATTCATGAAATACAATGCATGTAATGTTTTCGCTAATGAAGCGTTATCCTGTAATTCTGTATCAGGGAAGTGTCTGGTTGGAAGATTAATATCAATAATTCAATAAAATAAAAATATTTGAAAGGAGTTCATTTATTATTTCGATAGCGTGACCGACATTAACAGTACTTATAAGAAATATAAATATAATATTATGAAAAATCTGTAACGACATATTGTCACGTTAATTGTGAAAGGGTCTAATATTCGCAAATGTATTCTCGCCATCCCCTAATTTTTTCTAAGTTTTATTGTTTTCCTGTCCTGCCATTCATGTCGCCTGTCGGGCAGTTTCTAGAGCGGTTGCATTTTCTCTGCCGCACGAAGACTCTTGGCGCTACTGTTCTTTCCCCGCCAGCGTCATACGTCACCCCCTTTCCTTTTTCACTACTTTAAGAGTCCAATTTTCCGCAAACATCGTTCCCAGGCGGCCGCCGGCGCCGTCTTCCGTACGCTTTCTTCCCACCCTCTCCCCAACCCCTCCCACATCGGCGAAACCTGGGCCGAAAATGTACTTCTCCACGCGCATAGACCTAACTGCTTCTTTACGAAACTTTTTGCTATCAGCCAGTGGAGCAAGTTAGATACGTGGAGAAACAGCATTCAGGGATAGCAGTTTCATCTTACAGAGCTTTTCTTTACGGATTGCAACATCTTTTATAAACCAGTGAATTCATTTCAAGGTATAGTTCGTGGATAGGACGATTTAGCAGGTTCTGATATACGACATCGGCTATTACTTTTATTCCGGAATACTCTATTGAGTTGTCAAATAATGAAACCAATTTTTTTAAATTTCCAGCGTTTCAGATTTTGTTAAGCCTTTCTCGGAACGTTTTAAAATATAGCGAATACCCTGCCAGTATCGAAATGGAAGAGAATTCGTAACACTTTATAATCCACAATACAGCCGAAACGTTGACAGTTTATCAAATTGGGTCTTCATTTCATCTAAAGTCAAGCGAATATTGTAATTAATCGAGGTTAAGGAAATTAGCACATGTGATCTTTTTTATTTAAGCCCAATAAATACTCACTATTTTAAAAACTTTTACTGCACGTCAAATAATGTCATTTTTCACTCTAAATTATATATTTCTTGTATTCATTTATTATTGTATATATTTATGTAATTACGTACAGCAAATTTAGGAAAATTCTTCAAAGAGATTGCGAGATATTCTAATGAACTATTGCACATAAAAGGATTGTAATTGTAGTACAACTTTTATATTGTATATTTGTGTGTGGCAAATCACTGAAATTGAAATATTGATTTTTTATTGAAAGATTGACAATTTACGAGAAATTAATAGTTTAACTCGCCAGAATATTTTGACATAGGGTGACATGTTTTAGAGTTGTCCATAAGACATTTGGGATTTTAGTAACGAGTAATGCAAGAAATTATTCGTTACGACCTTGAACGGAAGGAAAAACATTTACAGAAAAGGAACATTTTTGAAGAGGCGTGACATTGTTAGAGGAACATGGAGACAGAGTTTGGCGGTGTCGGCATCTCAAATGGCAGAAGTAGTTGGTAGTTATAACGACAAGAAGTAAGCGACGATAAAAATAACAAGTTAGAAAAGGAGAAAATCAGAAGAGAGATATAATAAGCAATACAGAAAGGAGAGAAAAGCAGAAGAGCGAAGACGGTAAAATATAAAATAAGAATGAGTGGTCGAAGACTAAATGTGGTAACAAAATAAATAGGTAGGGAAGGGACAAAAAGGGGAGCTAAAGCAATTAAGTCCGATGATAACATAGGTAAAACGTATGCATTAGTAATAATAAATAGATAATAGATGGAAGAAACAAAAAAAGGAGGAAAATTGGATATCAATCAGGGAGGAGAGAAGCCAGTTACAGTGACAACGGGAGCAACCAAATCTGCCAAAAAGATCAATGCAGGAGTGGTGTCAGTTGTATAAGCTGATCCACACAAAAGGAATACAGAAAAATAAGCCAATTAATTGAAAATGAGAATAAATTAGGAACATAATAGCAGAGTGGTCGTGGAAGAAGAGAGAGAAGTGAACACGAATGAACTTAAAAGAACAGAACGTGCTGATGATCATGACTGAAAACACTACCATAAACAAGTGAAAGAAAATGTGTGCAAGGAAACGACAAACAAGACGTCCAAGAAGGAAAACGCATCTTTGACAGGTAACAAACACAATTAAGTAATGATAAAACGGAATGAAGCAGTGACGTTGACTGCGTCAGTATCTGACGATCTGCAAAACATTTCAATTCGAGTAGAAAGAGTAGGAGGGACGAAGGATATGAATTAGATATAGAGGAAAGAAAAGTGAACATACGTGAAGAGAACGAGTAG